AAGAATTTTCCTTCCTTCGTCCATTTACTTAAGTCTGCCTCACTTTTTGTCTCGTAACTATACGGCTCTCTTCTTGTGGTTGATATGGGGTTGTTTCTTCTCTTTCTCGTTGTAAGTTGCCTTTCCCTTGAGTTTGGACAGATCTTTCTTCTTTGTTCCTATGGCGGTTACGATCTTCCTGCATATTCCTTTGGGTTTCCTCTCTAGTGTGTTGATCCTCCGTGGTTGTTAGCTGTTCTAGGAAGTCTTGTGCTTGTTCTATTGAATCTATTTTAATTTTTCTTCCCTTCCACGATATTAGCATCCCTTCTGGGATTAGCCATTTGAATGAAATTTCGTTTTTATTTAAGTAATTGGCTAAAAATTTATATTCTTGCCTTATGGCCCTCACTTTTCTTGTAATCTGCTTAAGAATTATGATCTCTTTGCCCTTATATAATATTCTCTCATCTCTGGCCTTTCTAAGTATTAGGTGTCTCACGCATCTTCTTGAAAAGTGGATATGGATCTCCCTTGGGCAATTGTGACGCCTTGCATAACTGGTGTTCACCCTATAGATTTCATCGAATTCTTTGAGTAAGTCATCTTTCTCTTTTTCAACTAGTTCAGCCAACAAACCTGCCATTAATTGTTCTAGTTCTTCATTTTTGGATTCCTCCACATTTTGGAACCTTAGGTATGCAGCAGCTCTGTCCATCTCAAGTTGGACCAAGGAATCTTCCATTTCTCTATTAACATTTTTAAAGTCTTCCTCAGTCCTTTCTAGGTTCCTCTCCGCTTGTTCTGTCCTCCTCTCTATTTCTTTTATTTTTAATTCAGTTCTTTCCATGGCCAATTGCATTGTCCCAACCTTATCTTCAACTCTCTGTATATCTGCTCTCATCTCCTCTTTTAATTTACCCATTTCTTCCTTCAGTTCGCTAATATTGGCTCCGGTCTCATTGTGATTCCTAATCATAATCTCCTGCATTCTAGACATTGATTCTTGCAGGGATAATAATGTCACTTGTAGATTGGCATTAGTGACAGTCGGTTGTTTTTCTCCTGTCAAGGTCTCTTCTATAGTTTTCTGCGTTGTTGGGGAGGCAGTTGCCAGAGTTGTCATCAAGGTCTGGGTGTTCTTCCTTCCCGTTTTCAGGGCCGTGGTTGTTGTGGAAGTCATCTCTGATAAGATTTGTTTTTGCAATTGGACAATGTTAAGAATATTATCCCAAATCACCATTCGATGTAATAGCCCTTTAAGTGTGATTACAAGTCTATTTGCTAAGCTTACACACCAAGTTATTTTAGATCTCTTTCTTCGGCCCAATCTGTCATTCAGGCAAGTTAAATTCCAATTCAATAGAGTGTTATCAGATACTATACAATACTATACAATAGATGCTATACAATAGAATGTAATCAAATATTATGTATTATGTATTATTCTCTATATTAAGTTCATATACCAGAGTTAATTGTATTTTACCCCTAATAAATCATTACCATATCAAATCAAACTTGTTTAAAGCAAACAACCAACTCTAGAATTTCTCACTCTATATATACCTTTGTCCTATAATGTATATTAATATTTAAGGTTCCATTTCATCTGAGACAACCCTATTTAACAGACCTTAAATTTTTTATATATCCAAGAGAGTCTAATCAGTAAACCCTAATAACTATAACAAGCAGTTTGCTTTTATACTTGTATTTATAACTATTATAGAAAAAAAGGAAAGACCAAAGAGAAAGGGAGAGAGAGAAAGAGTGCAGGAGGAAAAGGGTCTTTTCAATTTTAGGGAATCACTAGGCACGTATCTGTGGGATTAGTTCCATAGAAAAACAAGTCTGAGTTGGGGCTGGCATTTTAGTCTTATAGTCTTTCCTCCTGGGCGCACCAAGGGAGCAGGGGGAGGAAGTGCTGACTAATTGCTGTCAGCGCTCAGCGATCAGTCTTTGCCAGGCTTCTGTCTGTCTCTTCCTTCTTCTTCTTCCCTCTTCTTCTTCCCTTCTGCCAGCAATTGTCAGTCCACAGTCACTTTGGGTGTCCGCCTCAGATCAATCACTTTAGAAATCAGTTTTGTAGGCAATGATGCTAAAAGGAAAGGACCTTGCATATAAAAGTCAGTGCGTCGTTATCTGGCTCTCTACCGCTTGCTCTGCCCTCCTTCGCAGCTATAATCCTCTCCTAGTCTTCTAGCCTTCTCAGGCGCTGATCCCAGATGGCAATCCACTCCCGAGCTTCTTAAATTTCCCACCGCCTTTTTCTCTCCTCAGCAATCTTCTTCCAAACTCTGCAATCCACACTTTCACTTTAAGTGTCGAGCCACTCTATCCGCATTTATCCCCCTTTCACTTTTCAAACTGCTTTTCTAGCCGCTTGTCTCCAGCTTCCCCCACTGTTACTCACAATGAAACAGGGAGAGTCAGACCAATCTCTCTCATGGCTTTTGTAGTCCTTCTGACCTTTTCTGCTCAGATCCTTCAGGCTGTCACTTTTTGCTTCATCAGTTCAGTGACAGACTGGACTTTGGAGCCGCCATTAGCTGGCAGCTGGCTCAATCGCGCTGGTCTCAGAGGCTCTTCCTTCGTTGCTGGGGAGTTGCCTTCCCCCAAACAGCAACCCGGGGGTCCTCTATTCTGACACGAAGCTCTACGGATTTCGTGTATCCACTGGGGATCCCTCCAAACGCGAGAAGAGGTGTTCGAAAGCCACAGCTGGGCTTCTCCACCTCTGGACGTCCCTGTCCTGCCACCGGAAGCCCATTGTCTGCATTCTGTGTGCAGTGTGGTATTTCTTACTGGGATGCAAAAGTAATTGTATACCTGAAAACACCATCAAAATTATCAGCAGACTCAACTGAATAGACAGTACAGACAGTTTTAGACAGTTATTGAAATAAAATACATGGTATGCACCATAAATAAGCTTCTCTTTGCATAATTTATAAAGTATAAGAGTGTCTTTTTATTCAAGAATGCCAGAGGGAAAAGGTTAGTGATATTTTTTTATTAAGCAATCACTAAATTAGTAATAAAATCCATAATGAATACACCTAAGAGAACTCTTATTTACTGGGCATCAATTTTCTCTCTAAATAAGAACATGTTTGGTGGAGGTATACCAAAGATTTATACTCACAATGAATGAATTGCTTACTGCTTACTATAATGGCCTATTTTTTTAAAAAAAAAATAACAGATTTAAAAATGGCATTCTTAAGAAAGTTAGATGTGAACCAGTTTGTGTGTATGTGTGTGTAAGTTTGTAAGTTGGAGATATGATTATCCAAATATAAAAAGCATCTCAAATACATGGTCTCTAAGGTGTCCATAGAACCACCTATACTAGGGGAAATGAAAGGGAGAAAGCTAAATATATTCCTGGCTTTCTGTTGTTATGATCTGCATCAGTGGCAGAGTTTTAGGTTTGGACATATAAGACTAGGCAATGTGTATATGCAGCCCAGGAATTTGAGTTCCACATTTTCTTGACTTTCTAGTATATTTAGAAGAAGAATTATAAGAATCCCTATTATAACTCTGCTGAAATCTTATGCAAGTAACAATTTTGAAGTTTATTCATTAAAACAATTCAAGAATGAAATGATGCAATTTAATAGTTTCTATCAAAAACTTTCCCTATGTCTTTTTGTATCAATCATGACCCTTAAATTTCAGATTTTATTTTTTTGGCAATATTATGTATCTTTGCAAGTTGGCAGGCTGTACCTTTTACTCACTAGTGGGAATGTGTCATTCCCATGTGTACATCTGGGACTTCATTCTTCATTTTCCAACATTAAATGTCAGGTGCTCAATTAACATTTTCATTAGTGTGTATTGATTTTGCCTGCTCTGAAGTGATAAAAGTTGGGAGTTGACTTTATCTTCCTTTCATTTTTAAGATAAAACAAAACAGAAGAAGCTAGTTTTCATTTAGCCATCTTTTCTTATGGTGAAATAATAACTTCCAAAATTGATTTCTCCATCAGATATGTAATTTAGGAAACTTTATTTAAATTGAATTGCAGATGTTTTCCTTGGTTCTTTTTGTTTTTTTTCTTATTTTCTGAGAAAGTGGAAGCAGATTATTTTAACTAGTTTCAGTCCAGGACAGATACAGCTTGATCATGTTTCTAAATAACCAATGGTAGAGTTGGGATAGAGTTGGTTTCTCACTCTTGTGATCTTTGATACAGCAAATTTTGATACAATTGACCACGCATCATTTAAGGCTCATTTTGGGGTTGAGAAAAGAGATTATTTTTTCATGGTAGTTCTCTTCATTCCTCAGAGGCCAGTTTTGGCATTGGTTGCAGGGAGAGATTGCAACTTGATTCTTTCCCCCCTCTTATGCAACATCTATATTAAACTGTTGTGTGAGGTCATCAGTTGGGGTTCAGTATAATTATACACTAATTATACCCAGTTATATGTTTCAACTTTTGGCCAGCTAGGAGAGATTGCTGATATTCTGTTGCAGTGTCTGGTTGAGATAGGAACCAATTGAAGTTTTGATAGAGCTAAATTATTTGCGATTTAATCAGACTGAAGTTCTGTGGGTGTTAGGACCACCTAGACCTAGGGATATTCTATATTTTATCATTGGTGGAACAGGAATGTGTGAATGAATGAGGTCCAAATAAAAGGTCCATTTGATCTGTTTAACAAAGAAATGAAGTTAAAGTTTTGAAGGTGTGCTTTGTTCCAAAAATTAATCAAGTCTTTTTAAGACTAGTGTAGGCCTGTTGCAAATAAACCCTAGAATTACTCAGTGCAAACATAGATCTATGAGACATATCTTTCAGTTAGATAGCTCTACATTTAATGTATTTGTTTATATTTGTTTGTTTACTCATTACTTTTATTTATCCCATCCTAGTTTTGCAATATCTCCAAATTAACACAATATAAATTTTTAGATACAATTTTTCAATTGTTTTTCTGCTGGTGAACTATTTCATTTTTCTGAAGCCACATAGGAGCTAAAGTGTATACATCTTGCATTTCAGGCAATGTGGGTACAGAATTGTCATACACTGAGATTGGCATGTTTGTTTCTTCGGATGGTGGAAATTCCTGGAGACAGGTAATTTTTTCACTAGGCTCAATAAACAGTTTTGTCTGTGATATTTATTTCATATTTCTTGGAAGGAATGCACAGTTCACACTGGGCTTTTGTCATTTGCAGATCTTTGAGGAGGAATACAATGTATGGTTCCTTGATTGGGGTGGAGCACTTGTGGCCATGAAACAAACATCAATGCCTATTCGACATCTGTGGTGAGTTTCTTTTCATTTTTACTATGCTCTTTAGTGGAAAAAGCATCTTTCTGCTGTCTTATCTAGATGATTGTTTACTGCTGATAGCAATAATTAAAAAAATATAATTCTGCAGTGTATTTTTCAGAGGTATCCATGTTTCTTTCTTGGATGGATTCTTCTTTTCTTTTCTTTTTTTCAACATTTTTCAGAGGTTACAAAGAGTTTAGTAAAGCAAATAAAATAGAAAAGTCTAATGGGCTTTGGGAGTAACCTTGTGGAACAGGAGGAAAAGCCATAGGGTTCAATTAAATGGAATTTGAGTCCAAAGCAGAAATGTAATTTGAGAAAACGTTGTAGACTTGATCGGCCCAAATTACTTGACCAGCTTATAGATAAAGATAGGTATAGGGGAGGCACATTTAGACTGGCAAGATTCTGTCATTACTACAACCCTATAAAAATGGTGGTGTTAATATTAGTATATTTGTTTTTCATGCCTGATCTATCTCAAAGGTATTGTAGGTGATAAAGACACCTGCAAAAATTTATAAAATACCAGAAAGCAAAATAGCAAGCAATCCCATTTTCAAATTCCCATCAGAATCATAGCAGTATGTATATAATCATTAGATTATACTGGAATGTCTTGAATAGACTTAGACAAGAAGCAGCATTACAACAAAACACCTACTTTGCAGTAAGGTAGTACGATGGCTCAGCAGTTAAAGACTCTGAACTTGTTAGCTGGAAAACTGAAAGTCCAGGTTTGAAACCTGAGTGCTGCAAGACAGGGTGACCTCCTGTTATTGCCTCAGCTCTTGTTTGCCTAGCAGTTCAAAAGCATGCAAATGCAAGTAGATATATAGGTGCTATTTTGGTGAGGAGGCAACAGCATTCTGTGTGCTTCGGTGTATAGTCATGCTCTCCACCTGATCACAGAAAATGTGTTTGGACGATGCTGGCTTCCTCGGCTAAGAAATGGAGAAGATCACTGCACGTTAGAGTCAGAAATGATTGAACAGAAGATGCCATTATCTCTACTTTTAGATTACTTTTCAGATTTCATTCCATTTAATTTCATAACCACCATTTTTATGATACATGGAATAATAATATATTCAGTATGAATATATACAAATATATATCTATGACTAAAACAGGTTTGTCATATTTTGTTCAGTAAGTCTACCCTTTATTCCACAGCATCACATTTTATTTAAATGCCACAACTGATTGTAAGAAAGGGAAACTAGCAGAAGGACAAATTATGATGACTTGCTTAAGGCCATCTTATTATTTCATTCTATTACATATCACAGTTTTTATGAACAGCCTTTCTGAACCAAGGGAATGTGGAAAACAGTGAGCAGAATAGAAATCCACCTACATGTTAAATCAAGTAAAGCAAAATGCAAAGATCACATTCTCATCCAATACTCAACTTAAAATCCTTCTTGTGTATTTGAATTTTTTTTACTTGAATTATATTCTGTCTTTTAAAAGATTCCCAGCACAATTTTTAAAATGTCAGTAACAACAATAACAACAAAAATTCAAAACAGAAATAAATCATATTGAGTTAATGAAGCTAATATTCAGGACCAGGAGTGGAGTCCACATTGATTATGGAATGAACACATGTCATTGGTAGAAATTATAAGGCAGCAATGCATCTCATGAATAAATCTAACTAAGAAAACATTATTTAGTTCAGCTGAAGAAGTAGGATTATCTTTGCTATGGTGATGAAATGGAATTTCAATATGTACAATTAGCACTGCTGTTTAATAAATTTACTTGATGTTATGGTTTGCTTCTTGTAGATATTGCAACTCCTGATTTTTTTAATGAAGAAGATTATGTGGTCAATTGGCTAACTTTCAAGAGTTGATATTCTCAACAATATATGTGAGAATTAAAATAATCTTGATGAGACAGTGTATATGTAAAAAGTTGAGAAACAGTTTATTAATTAAATGATTTCTTACAGGAAAAAGTGATATTATAGCACTTTTGTTTTTTCATTTTATTTTGATCTACTGATTCATGCTTTGTAAACATTTTATTCATATCTTGTATTTTTTAATTGACATAGCATTTTGTGTTGTTCAAAAAGCCTGTTTTCAGACAAACATCAATGCTAAAAATCAGTCAATATTACATCAGATTCTATTGTCATTCTATAAGATTCCGCTGAAGACCATAATTCAGTATCTTTAAAAAACCAGACCTTATTTCTCATCAGCATTTAATTAAGATGCACATTTCTTGGTTTATATACAATTTATTAAAAGTTTTTAAAAGAACATAAAACTAATAGGAACTAATACAGAATAAAGAGTACAGAGAGAAAGAAATGAAAGGAGATGCACAATTTCACAAATGGATGCCTATATGAGATAGATAGATGAGGGATGGGGAGAGGGAAGGAGAGGGAGACAGAATCTATTTTATCTCCATCTCATTTTCTTCTGAAAACACTCAGATAATGGACAAAAGATAATAGAACATAATTATCAGCAAAACTGATAAAAATCCAAATTTCCTTACTTGTAGGACTTTGAAAAATCAGAGTATTTTTCATCATCATACAGCCACATATGGCTGGAAATGGGAATGTAGGAAGCTCATTAAGTTTGGCTGGTTATTATATGTCTCCCTCATTAAGCTTTTTGGATTTCAAATGGATTATTTGTATAACTTTCCAAGGCCTAATAGGATAGGATTTGATTATTGCTACCTAGTTGTTGACTTTTTTTCACATGTTCTGGATTGATGAATGGGGCTGTGGCTGACAAGTGAACATTTTATTTAAGCTAGTGAACAGTTAGCTACAGATGAAATTAAGTCTGCATTGTGAGGTAAAAAATAAAATAAAAAGACATATCAAACAAACTCAACATTTGTTTCCCATTGTTCTGGATAGCATAACATTTTTATTTTTTTATTTATTTTAAAATGCATTTTAAACAAAGAATTGCATCAGGACATTTCTGAAGCATAAAAGATTTAAGTTTCAGTGTATAGATTAGTTAATGAGGTGCAGATCAGATTTCATAAAGAACAGTGTCAAAAGCATCTTTTATTCAGTGGAAAATTTTTTCCAACTTCTTAAATAAACTGTATTGGATCAAAGCTGAATTTGTTTTTTTATTTGATCACCATTGTAGAAACTTTCATAATGAAATGGTAATATATAAGCAACATCACAATATAGTTAAATCTATGAGATTTCTTCATCTCAAAGATTCCATATTTAAGATCATATCCAGGAATGTAAAAAAAAAAAGTAACGGGCATTGTTCCTGCTTCAATCTCATGAGATTTGGGCATTATTTGAATAGATCTCACATAATAAGAATATCTACATGAATTAATTAATTAATTAATTCATTCATTCATTCATTCATTCATTCATTTATTCATTCATGCAGAGTGCCTGCATTTTCTTTGGTTACCCATCTCAATCAATGACACTGGGTGGTTTATAATTCAGAATTAAAAAATTCCCGTTTAAAGATATTACAAACGTGTAATAATCATCAGACACTGTAGCACTAGTCAATCATTTTGATACATATTTTATTTAGGGTTACAAATATGAAAATGCTTATTTTATGGGACCACTGAAATTTGCACTCATTAAAGTTCTTGTTTGTGTTTAATACAATGTTTGTTTTGCATAAGAATTTTTCATGGTCTCTCTAAAAAGTAGTATAGTTGAATTTAAATATCTCCAGACCTGAATGGCCTGAATCTTCCCCAAGCAGGAAAGACAATAATTCACTGCAGGTTATTTTATACAATCTTCCATTTTCTTCTAATCAGAACAATCATTTTACTCAAACACACCTGTCACTTACTTAATTTAATCATTGTGGTCTATTACCACTAGAAAGCATGTTGAACCAGAATATTAATAATATGGAAGATTGTGAAGATTGTTGCCTATTTATAAATCCAACTATTTTTTCTTTTTCTCTCTCTCATCAGCCAAAGACATTTAATTACCTTGGAAATGGCTCCAGTGAAACATTTTCATGTGTATTCATCTCTTTCAATCTCAGGGTGAGTTTCGATGAAGGAAGGACCTGGAATAAATATGGCTTCACATCAGCACCGCTCTTTGTGGATGGTTCCCTAGTGGAGCCAGGCATAGAAACTCAGATAATGACGTAAGTTGGAGACTTAAACATGATGCCTTGTGAGACAGTAGGGATGAGCCATTTAGGGCATCCATCAAACAGAATGTCAGGTTTGTTCCAGGGGATCTCTGGGTTGCTCTCTAAAGTCTGAAAATTTATGCTAGTATATCAACTGTATCTTCTTATTCTTGCAGCTTTGATGGTATGCTTCTGTTGTAAGTTTCCATTGCAGCTTTAATTTAAATATATGTGGTACTAAAACAAGCTACTAATACAGAGCTAGCAGTAGTTACACTCAGAATTCTGTTTTATGTATACCAATTAAACAATCTGATCATAATGGCTATTGTCATTTTCATATACTCATGTAAAATGAGAGCACCCCATTTCTTTAGAAATGGGCTTTCTAAGTGGCAAACTCACATTGTCATGGTATCATCATGTGACATATTGTGACTCCCCCCCCTTCTCTAAACTGGGCATGGGCATGGCCCATGGGTCGCAAGTATGACAGCCCTGCTCCAGATTGCCTTGCAATCCAGGCACAGCATAACAAGGTTTAGCATTTTTTTTTAAGACTGACATGTCAATTGAGATAATTAGTTAAAACTTTGTAAGGAGCTAAGATCTAGATAATACATAGAATAGGGCTTCCAGAACTGGAGCAGTTAAGATTTTTGCAGTCCCAATGTGGTAATCCCAATATATATCTTCTTTTTAATCCATGTTATCATCCCATCACGTTAAAGTATGATATTAATTGGAACAAAACCAATTAGTAATAAAATAGCCATTTAAGTGTACAAATTAAAGTAAATGTGGGATGAAAACTATTCCCAAATGTTTCATTTTAATCCAAAAAAAAAAATACAGTATTTGTTCTTGTCAACTCAGATGATACGAGTATTACTTTTCAATGCCACAGTTCATTGGTAAGTGCCCTAACAATTCTGTCTGTCAAGGAATATGCTCAATCTTCTTTTGTAACTACTCACCTTGAAAATTAAGTGGACTATAAATCTAACTATTATGTATCTGGTATCCGAAGTAAGTGAAGGCCTGCAAACAAGGGTACAAGGCTCAGAATGCAACTTGAAGCTACAGCTGTACTTTTTTCCATTTCATGTTTCATTGCCACTTATCCCCTTTCATTGCCACTTATCCCCTTCACACCTTATATTTAGGCAGAAAAAAGTCCGTCCATATCAAATGTTCCTTTTAAAGAGAAAACAATATTATTTGTTTGATTTATATATCTAGTTGCCTATTAAATTATCAAAGGAATATTTAAAGATGCTTTGCTTTGTATTATTACTACTTCCTCCTTTTTTTTAAGATTTGGAAATAATAGATGGCTGATGGTTTCTGATATTTGAAGTAGGAATCAGGATAATTGATAAGTGGCTGAGAAGTTTCTTTTTATGTACAGAAATTATTCAAATGGCTTGTATTTTTGTTTTGGAGATGAGAGGGAAAGGTTTCCAGAGGTTGGGATTGTCTTTTTAAAGTGACAGAGTTTACATTTTAACTTTAAGCCTACTGATCTTAACAAGTACTAGTGGTATAAAACCTTCCCTGTTACTGATTTTGTTATATCGTACCGGTACTCCCTGGGTTAAGAGTGAGTTCCATTACTAATTCTGTCTTTAACTTGAATTTCTATGTCAGTTAAAACTCATCCATACAAATGGCCTGCATATTATTGAAAATGGCAGACCATGTTTTGCTTCCTAGAGCCATGTAATACTTTCAGGAATCACTGAAAACTAATAAAAGCATGCTGTATATTAAAAAAAGAACTATGATTTCAGTGGTTTCTGACAGCATTGCATGTCTTCGGTGATTCATTGGCTTAAGGAAGGAGAACACTGTCCACTATTTTTAACAATAGACAATCAATTTGTATCTAGGGTTTGTCCTTACATCTGATATACTTAACCCAGGGACTGCCTGTATTTCTACTGCAGGTGTTACTATTTATAACAGATTTCTAGGTGATTTCTTTCATATAGATTTATTGTTGCTTTCATGCACACTGACTCTAAAAAGATTTAATTTGAATAACAGGAGACCATTAATCAGGTGGAGATATCATTTCCTCTACAGGAAGTCTCTTCTAATAGATCAGGGACAGGGTTTGATACATTTCTAGTCTAACCCAGTTTCTCTTCAAGGAGCGAAAATGTCTCATTCTTCAAATCTGGTCCAAGCAGCTGACTTTTATATGACAAGCCACAGAATATTGCTTTGATCTCTTTCATACTTAAGGAAGTGTGTTTCTTAATGTAGTTTATTTTTTTGTCCATTGGATAATAGGTAGATAAAAAGTTAGATTTAACAAAATGCTCAATTATTAGTTTTTAAAAAAGAATTATGGATTTTTTTGAATTTTTCTGTCCTTTATCTGGGGCATAATGGGATTTAAGTAGAGATATTTTTGTAAATATATATATATATATATATATCTTTTCTTAAGTTTTCGTGTGTATTTATATGTAAGGTATTCAGCTTTGTCTGGGTATTTTCCCACGTCATTATAGTTGTGCTTTTAAAGTTGTAGCAATGTTTCGGCAGATTCGAACACTATACAGAAGCCTGATGATGGCAGATAAGATTCTGCCAAAACGTTGCTACAACTTTAAAAGCACAACTATAATG